CCACTGTTGCACGATTCCGCGACGTGCGTGAGGCGAAAAAGATATCTGCATCCTCAGCATTGTCAACCACCATCGTCCATTGGCCATTTGTAGCATTGCATAGCCATCTATGCACGGTTGGAAGAACGTCGATTGAAGTGTCATTCCGGTGATATATGTTCGCCGCCGCGGCGATTGCGCTGAAACTTTCTCTGAAACTTGCCCGTGTCTTTGCGTTAACCCAGAAAACCCATTTCGTTGGTGAATGAAACCGGACTCGATAGGCATATTCGATAGCCACTCCTGTCTTCCTGAATACTACATCAGTACGCTGTCATTACTCATGAAGCCAGACGTACCCAATGCCGGCAGGTCCAATCAGGGATGCCCAGCCAGCGGAATTGGAGCAGATCTGATATACTTTCTCCAAGCAATCGCCATGATGGAATTCGTTTTCGCGCTGAAAAGGAACCGTCCATGGACGCACTTTGTTGTGTAGCGATCGCTCAGCTTCATCACGCAACCGCGTCAATGCTCTTGCGAACCCCTCACCGTATATTAGCGGCATATAAACGCCGCACAAACCCAGTAGAGAATATGCTATGTCCTCTTCCCTCTTCGTCTGACGTTCCCTAATCCATGATATGCGATCGTCAATGCTAAATTTCTCCATTGAGCCGCTCTGGAGTGCCAGTACAGGTATCCGGGTTCGAACATGGAGAGCCTGCAGCAGTGTGACTTTGTCGCCCAGCAGTCTTCCTGTCCTTGAGTAGAACTCGACAACTTTCGGCGCGAGCATCTCTTGCAGTGTCCAACCGCGCTGAAACCATCTACTGCTGTCGAATATTTGCACCCATTGTTCCTCGGATATGTCTGCGACAGGCACATCGATCTCCACGTCTGAGAGCAAGACATAGCACTTCTCCGCCTGCCGGTACCATTTGTACATAGAGTTAATTGCTTCGGTCAACTCAGCGCTACTGCTCTTGTCGATGCAGCATGTGTCGACCCAAAAGAACTCTAGCCTGTCGCTCGTAGCACGTTTGGAACAGAAGACTAGCTTGCTATACCCAGGGATACTCTTGGCTTGCTCGCTTCTCAAATCTGCAAATGTGACTTCATCTTCGTTCGAACCCCAGGTGTGCGATAGGATTGCGTAGGGTGGAACTTGCTCCTTGAACCGCTCAACAAGGCTGAAGCCGACGGGATCAGGCGATCGCTGTAGGAGGCGCATGGCGCAATAATATGAGAGAATGTAGAAAGTATTGTGCCGATAGCATAGAGTGCTGTATTTGAACGAAGTGGGGTTTTCATGCGATACTGCCGCCTTGAGGGGTGGAGTGAAATCACATGGAACGGCCAACAAGGCTGGATATAAGCGTTTCGCTGCGGTCAGACAGCCTCAAGGAGGAGGTTCCAAGCCTCCCTGACACAGCCACTCCCTTGTCATTGCCGACGCATTTGTCTGCATGTTGTAAGGCTTTCAATTCAAGGCTATGCCGTGCACACCAGCTTTTGTGGCAACTGGAGCGACGCACAGTCTCGTCATGGTGACCCGCCGGCGTGGGATAGAGTCAATAAAGAGCTAGTTCGAGAGGACATGGGTAGAATTGGCCCATGGTATTGTAAGGTGAGTGGTGACCACGCGCTCAGCTCAACGCACGGACTTCAAACCACTTTAACCCGTAAGCTGCAGATCTTGCTTGGGAAGTGTTCCCTGGGTTGGTTGTGTCTGCCTGCTATGATCATCTGTTCGAGGCAAGCAAATCGCCAGACGCCTGGAACAATGCATCATAGTACTGCATATTGGAGTGTTATCAGGCTCAGCCATTGACCTGGCAAACGCTGCGAAGCCATCGTAACCCGTGAGTCGCTCTCTGTATGATGCGTTAACAAAGTGGAACTTTTCAAAAATCTCAAGCCCATCTAGCGGCGGTAACTTGTCAGTCTTGGCTGGTAAAGAACAGCCCATGAAGCCATAAGGCTGTGTCGCGCATGCAGCATCTTCGCATCAGTGCATGCGTCGTCATTTCGATGCTGCAGGGTTGTGGGAAGGTGTGCGCTGTGGGGGCTCGATCAGTGTGACGGTAATTCAGTCGGGTGTCGGGTGTCGAAATCAAAAGACGGCGCGTTGTACCAGTAGGCGATCAATCAGCATGGAGGCTGTGGGTGAGGGATGTAGCATGGGACGAATTAGTGGCAGCGGCAGCGGCAGCCCGGAACTGAAGCCGAGTCTCGAACAGGATTAGCGCATCAACGCAAGATCACGTGGACATCCTTGGAAGAACCCACCCTTGGACGAGACCATCCCATAATGCATGCCATGCTTCCACGCAGTGTCGTGATTAGAGTAATGTTGGATACAAATGACGCATCTCAGTGCAATGCACATAATACATCGTGGTATGTCAACACGAATGAGCAAATTCAAGTAAATGCTGCATCAATCTGCACACGACAACGAGCTTTTGGGATTGAAACATGCTTTTGCTGTGGTATCGAAATCATGTCCGTAATCTACCATATGTGAGACGCCAAACTCCATGACTATGTCAGAGGATCGTTGAATGACTGTCGAAATCGTACTGTCATATCGCGGAAGATACCAATTGTACCCCAACAAAGACCTACTCGTCAACATCCATAGCCTCAACACCACCTCCAACCTTCCTCTTCAGCATCTTTTTCGTCTTGGTCTTCTGCTTGGGCAGCTCCTCCTCAAGCTCACTGAGCTCGCTCTCCTCAGCCTCAAGTTCCTTCCTCCTAGCCGCAACCTTCTCCTTGACCTTCTGCACATCGACCTCCATCTCCTCCTGCTCAACCTCCTCCTTGGCGAACCTCTCGCTCGGCGGCAGCAAGTGCTGGTTCTCCTCGACCAGCTTCCTGTCCTCCTCACGCTGCCTCTGCTTGTTGCCACGCATACGCGCCTTGTAGAAGGCGCGTTCTCTCCTCTGCCGGATCTCGGATACACGGCCCATGGCCTTGAGGGTGGTCTGGATGAGGTCGCGGTTGTATCGCACGGGCACGTTGCGGCGCTGGGCGAAGGTGAGGGTCGAGTCGACGGTCATTTCCTTGTTGTGCGCGCGGCGGAAGGATTTGGTCCAGGCCAGCTTGCGGGGGTTGCGCTTCATTTTGAAGTTCTTGTGGCATTTGCTCTTGCAGAAGCGGAAGGCCTTTGCATCGTTGCGCACTGATGAGTCAGCAAGGATTTCTTTGGGGTGTGGTTATTTATGCATACCAAAGGTTATACCCTTGGACGGGTATACCGGCGAAGAGCAGAAGTAGCAAGTCTCGATTCTCATCTTATCGTCGTGGCGCGAATGCGATCGCGCTCGTCCTTATCGTGGAGAGGTATGCGCTTTTCTCGTCGCAGTAATCGTCAGCACGGGCTGAGATCGGGATATATAAGGATCGACCACGCTTCACTTAGTTGGCGGTGGTGAGGCGGGTGTCGTGTAAAGGTGTGGAGGTTGAGGTTCGAGAAGTTCGCCGGCTCGAAATTTTGGGTGGCCCGTGCATGCCAACCCACCTGCCATTCTGGCCCGCCAATTGCGATGCTTGTCGACCGAGGCACCTCCGCAAATTTCCTTCTGACCACCTCGCCGCCGCCATCCACCAAAGCATCGCCATCTGACGTATCTCGTACCCGCATCGCGACTTCTACCCTCCCGGAACTCGTACGCCAATATCGCATAGTCGAGCCAGAAGAGCGCCAAAAGATGTCTGCCTGGGTTTGGATATTGGGCGCCGGTGCCACTGCTTTCTTTGTATGGCCTCCAATTTCCCTAGTCACCCTTCTATTATGCCTGGATCGGGAACTGTCGGAATATGATAATACACGACGAAGATGTACTGACGGATTTGAATAGGGTCGCGCAGCACTCGTGGCGTTACGGAGATCAGGCGGTGGAGCCGGAGCACTAGGACGTGGATACTACAAAGGCGGCTTTGAGCCCAAGATGACACGGAGAGAAGCTGCACTTATATTAGAGATGCCGTAAGTCCAACGAATCTTCATATATGCCTTATGGAACCAGAGGACTGACTGTTTCTAGCGAACGCGGCATCACGAAGGAACTATTACGGAAGAAGCACCGATCGCTTATGCTTCTCAACCATCCCGATCGAGGCGGTAGCCCATACCTTGCGACCAAGGTCAACGAAGCGAAAGAACTGCTCGAGAAGGAGGTCAAGGGTTAATTCGATTGGCAAGAGGTGGATGATGTGTATACCAAGACTTTGTACTATATCACGGCATGATTCTCAGCATCAGCATGGCGTTGGACTGAATATGATTAGCGATTTACGACTCCCTATATGGTTTTGTTCTGTTCATGTCATATGAACTCGGTGAACTCCAGTTTTGCTGACCGTGAAGGATAGTTGCACCACTCTACACCTCCCTGATATCATGACCAGGCGCGAGTCTGGTATCGTCTTGTACGCCAAACCCGGCATGCTCGAGCAATCGGCATTAGAAGTCAAGATTGTTGTCCAGCCGCACTAGTGCATCAGGCATTGTTGTAGGATAGTCATACAGCGCAAACTCCAACCCGCCAGAAAACCCCATGCTTTCCCTGACCCACATATCCAGAAAGCCTTTCAGAGTGCATAAAACATGGCCATTGTTCGCTCATCCCTGGCCCTTTTGACAAGCCTGCAGGCGCGCGTACAGAGACTAAGACAGTTCCCGCCTGTAAAGGCAGCGGGCGTCAACTATTACCTTGCCTCATCGAATGGTCACCGGGCGGATGTAGGTCCGATTACTATTACTTCAAAGGCATACATCTCTGTCATGTTCCATGCAGGAATGCCTGATTTCAGCCTAGTTCGTGGGGATGAGCCTGGCCTGTAAGTTCAGCCTTGTGCCATGGAAGAGGGGTATATAATCGTTGCTCAGCCTTCCGACGTTCTTTTTTCTTTCCATCGACGATACAGCAACCAGTCAGCGAACTCGAAGAACGCAGAAAACCATACTGATTACGATCACCACCTAGTCAATCAAGTACTAAACGCCCATCATGTCCGGCAACGAGGATGACTACAAACAGCATCAACAGAACTGGGAGGCCAAGCGAGACGAAGGCTATACTGACAAGGACGAGTGGATGAAGAATGAGCAAGCCAACAATGAAGAGATGCTTGCTGAAATGGAAGCGTAAGCCACCTACCCTCTCATTTACCACGACATCCTTTGATGAGCCACCGCTATGCACCTCCATCACAAAACTGCTTATTATACCGCAAAACATCCTTGAGAGCCGAGATTGACAGCAAAGTAGCGAACGCAGGGGTCGCGAAGAGGCACGCGATGAATACGGCGACGACGCTGACGAGGGACATGACGACCGCATCGAGAAGCTCAAAGACACGGAGCAAACGGTGCGAAACAGAATTGCGTATCTGAAGGGTGAATACACATATGATCACGAGCAAGAATCGGAGTCTGAGCCAGAAGCGGGATCTGGGGATGAGCAAGAACAAGAGCTTGCGGTAGAGGAATCGTCGGATATGGAACTTGATTCGGATAGTGATTAGAGTGAGAGGTACTTAGAGTTGATAAACTCATCTTATACCAGGAAAAAGCTGAACAGGTTTGCAGATTACACCATGCCAGAAACCTACAAGAAAGGTGACCTAACGTCAACGTCGGCTCTAGGGTGGTCGTCGTTTTCCTCGTTTGGCGTGAGCTTCTCACTAACGATAATCCTTTTGCATGTAGATCGCATGAAAAAAGCGCTCATGAAAGCCTGCCTTGGCAATGTGACAAAGCGAGTACTGGTGTCATTTGATAGTATGTACAAATCGCAGAGAAACACCTCAATCATTACCCTTACACCCATTCGTCCATCCACCCGCCGCCTTGACGATCTTGTTATTTGCCCAACACCTCGCACGTACCCAAATCGGCGTACTAAACGTCGCATACCACTCGTGCCCATCATGATCAGCCGGATTGTCAAAGTACTCGAACTTCCAAAAGGTTGTACCAAGACCATAGCAGCCATTCATGTTAGGCCGAAGAGTATCTTTTCCGTAATCCCAGGTCGAGAAGCCAGCACCCTCAACCTTGTAGCGTCCGTGAGTCCCCTTATACCAGCCCTCACAGCGACCATATGGCGCTTTTGGCGGCGGCCAGGGGCGGTTACTGCGGCGGGGATTGAGCTCGTACTTGTAGTCTCCGCCGCTGCGAATGTATCTGCCACCACCCTTCCAGTTCATGGGGTTGTCGGATGTGTCGCATGAGTTCATGATCTTCTTCATTGAGTCCACGCACTCGTCCTTGTCGAATCCCGAAACACCATTGCTGAGTGTGACGACGTAGTCGTGTTGTTCAGGTGTGCCTTCGTCGTAGGTCTTGGAGTAACTCCAGTTGATTTTGTTTTTGTCGTGCTTGTCTTGGACTTCCTTGCAGAACTCCTCGTAGTTCTCGTTGGTGCGGTTTCCACTGACGTAGAATTTGCTACCTGTCTTGGAGAAACATGTGAATTCGTCTTTGACGGCGGTGCAGGCGGGTGAGTCGACGCCCAGAACGATGGCGCGCAGGTCCATGAGTTCTGAGAGAGCGAAGGAGGCTATGGTCAGGTGGCCGGCTTCGTTGGGATGGAACTGCAAATGTCAGTCAAAGAACCTTGGCATAATTGTACCTAGATGCAGCTAGTACTTACGTTACGGCCAATTGTGTCGGGCATGCCCATACCAAAGGTCATATCGAAGCCACCATCCCCAGGGCAGCCTGGTGGTGAGGGAGCGCGGGCGTCGAGCTTGTGCCTGACGGCAGCACGTGGATCAGGTGACTTGTAAAGAATGGAGTCGTAGAGTGTACGTTCGAGGTTTCGATCGCGAGCCTCCATCATAGCTTTGATGCGATTCACCTGGCGTTTCTCCGAGTTGGATAGCCTGGTCGAGTTCAGTATCTCCTCGAGATCCATGTCGCGCTTGCGTAGCTCCGTCCGCTCAAAATCGTTTTGCCATTCATCCCAAGGGTGCGTGTCGGGCTTGATGAAGTGCATGTTTGGTTGCTTTGGATCTGGATAGTCGCCATTGCTACTCGGCGAGCACATTCGGGCGTCCACCTCATTCGAGACCCAGTAATCCCAATCAGCGTAGCCAACCTTGTACTTGACCTTATCACTCTTGGCAGCTTTGTCAACGGCGTCGCGAATCGCCTGGTTGATGTCAAGCACCAGCTGATTGAAGACGTGGCGACGTTCGATAGTAAGAGCTCGGTACGAGGAACCCAATGGGAGAAACCAGAAGAAGTCCCACGACTGGCGATCGCAGTTGTCTTCCTGAGTGTCGAAGAATTGAGCATAGCTGTTCACGACGACGATACCGTCCTCGTTCATCTTCTCGTCGAGGGCTTCCAAAATCTGAAAGATGTTGTCGGTGATAATATTCTTGGCATTTTCCTGGGCCTTTGCGATGACGGTCTCGCAGGCGGATGTCTTGCCGTAGGGCAGCATGATGCAATCTGCAATCATCTTGGCGAGACAAAGGTCGTTTCCGCCAGAAGTGAAAGTGACGAAGTCGAGCTTGCCCTCTAGGGCCTGCGCCTGCTGGTAGATTTGTTCAGAACGATCGCCGCTGCAGGCGAGGTATTGGAAGCCGCCGTCCTTTTCGACGTGGGCACCAAACTGTGCCTCTATAACCTTGGGGTATGCCATGTCATATCTGGAACACTTCCAGTTGTCTCGAACCTCTTCCAGCCCACTGGGCACTCTGATAGCTACCTCGTCCGCAGTGATTCTGTGGCCGAGAGGCCTTCCAGCACCGATGCCGGCTGTGTAGCTATCGCCGATGGCTGCCCAGCGTTTGATCCACTCCATACTGCTTGGATCGTCATCCCGCTTGCGAAGAGTGGGCGGTGTCGGCGAGGAGGACAAGTTGACAGATGAGGCAGCTTCTGAACGTTGATATAGTCTTGCACTTCTGGCATGTCTTCCATGGTGTGCGTGGTGTGGAACGTAGCCATTCGTCGAGCTGATCAGGACCGAGAGGCCCAAGATCAACGTGATAATCATGTCGGTTGGTGTTACCGGACTAAACGAGAGACATGAATGAAGAATGAGCGTGAGGCGTAGGGCGAATGACCAACGTTGCGAGCGTGTGAGCTAGGCTCATAGACTATGAACAAGCAAGCGAAGCTTCGGAAGAGACGGGAGAAGAATTAGCTAAAGGCGGTTGATGATCAGGCGTCTGGATGTCGAGATGACCCTTCGCTGCCTCAACGCAGCACCAGGTCATCAGCCAAGACCGGACTATGGATATCGTCAATGAATTCACCCCGGTAGTCTGCAGGGTGACATTTCGGTTGCGAGAACTAGATGAATGTTCCCGTCTGATATGGGGCCGAAAAGCCTAAGTCGGATGAGGCAGGCAACATTGTATGTACGCGATGCTACCCAAGACAAAGTGTCTTTGGTGGAGACCTACCCAGGTACCATCAGCGTATCGGCCTGACAATGGTAGAATCCCATCCAGGTACGTACGAATCCACCACTCACGAGCCAGCTCATTTGCGTTCACAACCTAGGCGCATGCTGCAGGGCGTACCTGCATCAACGAGATAGTGTCGGGGGTCGCTGATTGAGGTTAAAACGATGGAGGTGCTCGGCGGCTAAATGCAGGGCGGAATTTAGTGGCGTCCCGGCTCGGCAGGGTCCTCGCATTGACCCACCTTGACAAACTCAACCTCATTCTTCGTTCATCTTGGCACATACATCGCGCCGGAGCTGACACTACAGCAAATGAGTTTCTTATTGATTTCGCCTTGCTCGCCTACGGGCCTGGTGGCATGTTTGCCAGGCCACCCCTGATACCCGCAGCTGTGAGCCAGGTACGGGACGGGAATTGGCGCTGCGCGCCGCTCGACCATCGTCCGGTCGTGAATATGTCGTCCCACTCGGTATCACTACGCTCTTCGTCAGGCTGTCGTTCTAGCTGGGGACATTGATCGCGCTTTTCTTGTTTCTTGAAACTTGTTGTACAAACACTCATTCCACATCATCATGACATCCAGAGTTGTCTCATTCAAGGGCCTGGCCCTCAGCCTGGGCCTCCTTCTGACTGTGGAAGCACTTGATCTGGGCTCTTTCGGCGGACAGGCGGAAGTCAGGCTACTCATGGAGAACGTTGCTGGCCAGGAGACCACGCCTGAGGCTAGAGAGATGCTTATCAAAGCAAACGAGAAGCCCGACTACACATGCACTGCAACTAAGTCATGTGACCTTGGATGCTGCGGACCTCTGTAAGTCGTCGATATGAACGTGTATGATCGGCCATGATGTTAATGATAGTCGTTAGCGATGACACCGGTACCGGTGCTTGTGGCTTTGGTCCCGTCTTCTGCGGCGACAAATGCACCAGCGATTGCAGTCGTAAATCTGAATGCGATCCTGGCACCTGGGGTCTCCAGTATGCGAACCTCACCACTTGCCCACTCAACGTGTGCTGTAGCGAGCATGGCTTCTGTGGCACGACGGTTGACTTCTGCGGCCCCAATCCTGTGCCGCATCCTCAGTGCGACCTCTCGCAGCGGACCGCCGACGCGCGCACCATCGGCTACTACGAGGGCTGGAACTTCCAGCGCCCCTGTGGTAACATGGAGCCTGAGGAAATCCCCTTGGGGCACTGGACGCATATCAACTTTGCCTTTGCTCTCATCAACCCCAAAACATTCCACATCGAGGACATGGATCCAGGTACCGGATCACGATACGGTCGTGTCGCGGCCCTCAAGGAGAGGCAGCCTAACCTCAAGATCTGGATTGCTGTTGGAGGCTGGGCTATGAACGATCCGGGCTCGTACCGGACCGCCTTCTCCGACATGGCCGCCAGCGAAGCAAACCAAGACAAGTTCTTCGATTCACTGTTGACTTTCTTGAGGCGATATAACCTAGATGGCGTTGATCTCGACTGGGAGTAGTAAGTGACAAACCCTCATCATCTCTGGCTGAGCTGACACACGCGCTTTAGTCCTGTGGCTGAGGATCGAGGCGGCATACCCGAAGACTTCGACAACTACGTCAATCTTCTGCGGAGGCTCCGCGAGCGCTTGAACTCATCAGGTCGTGAATACGGCATCAGTCTGACTCTTGTGAGTAGCACCCAGTCCCTGCTATACTTTTTGTTGTTCCATCGCGACTGACCCCAATAGCCTGCCTCTTACTGGTATCTCCGCGGCTTCAATCTCCAAGGAATGGAGCCATATCTCGACTGGTTCAACATGATGACGTACGACATCCACGGTGTCTGGGACGCCAGCATCGACAGTCTCGGCCCTATTGCCCAGGCTCATACGAACTTGACCGAAATCAAGATGGGTCTCGAGCTCCTGTGGCGCAACAACATCAACCCAGAGCGTGTTGTATTGGGTCTTGGGTTCTATGGTCGCAGCTTCACGATGAAGGACCCTGGATGCATGACGGCTGGCTGTGAGTTTAGCGATGGCGCTAATGGCGGCGCATGCACGGGCACGCCCGGCGTGCTGTCGGCGGCGGAAATCAACGAGGTCATCGCTAATGGCGCCACTGTCACCCACGATGAAGAGGCGGCTGTCAAGATTGTCACTTGGGACTCGAACCAGTGGGTCTCATTCGACGACACGCAAACGTTGGGAACAAAAGTTGATTTTGCTCATCAGCACTGCTTAGGAGGGTAAGTGCGACGATCTCGTTCTTGATGCATCGCAAATCTGTGACCATTTGCTAACGAGAATGCAGAACCATGGTCTGGGCTATAGATCTCGACGATGGCACGCTTACAAAAGCTCTTGGCGAAAACATCGAGAGACTGCCGATGCCCACGTACAAACCAAGACAGGTCTTTGAATGCGGTGCAAGGCCTGAGTTGTAGCTAGCAACCTGGGCGTGTTCACGTCGCAGGTTTAGTCATATCCATGATGGGTGACATTTATAGCATGAATCAATCGCAATCGCAATCTGTCTTCTGATGTGTGGCAAAGATCCACCCCGTCCGCGTGAAGTTCGTGACCGGTGCACGGCCTGTGGGAGGCCTCTTGCCCTTTTACTTTCCCTTGATAAGATCAACCCCCAGTTTCACGCGGTGTTCACACGAGTATAACGACATGTATATGATTGTAGCTGAGAGTACCCAGTAATTATAACGAAAGTCTATCTTCATGATCCATGAACGGACTTGGCTGGTACTTGCACACCCGGTACTCATCCACATGTACCATCTTTGGTGTCGCCGGCGCGAGAAAATTCTCCACTGCTCCTAGCATCCTTGAGTCTGTTATGGAACTCGCTTGATCCTGAATTGTGCGGCACCTCCAGGGTGGAAGGCGCGGGATCGCCGTAGAGCGCGACTATACGGTCGACATCCATGTTGCTGGGGCGGTGACGAATCGGGATGATTTGGTCCGGCATGGAGTCTTTCTTGTATTTCATGATGACACGACGATTCGCACCATTATCGCCACCACCAGCTTGAGAAGGATACAACATGATCGAATCTGGGTCAAACTGCGCGTCTATAACCATGTTCGCAGTGTTGCTAATGGGAAGCCAATCAGCAGCACTGAAACCGTATTTGCTGGCAACGCCGCGCAAGACACAAAGGTTGTTGTATTCTCCCTGCAAGATATCTCGCTTTCTCAAGTCCACTTCCGTATCAATCAGGACCTGTACTGATTTGTGAATCTTGTAATGGTCTTCGAGGTTTCCACAATTGAAGTCGTCGGTCTCGAAGTACTTTTTCCCGGTCATTGGAACGCTCCAAGAGGGCCCGGTGATGCTACTCTGTTCCCAGTAATACGGATTTTGGTGCTCGTGCGCAAGGCCCCAGGCGTGACCTAACTCATGGGCGATATTGGCGGGTGTGTTTTCTTGACCGACACCTTCCTTGTCAGAAAGGTGCATGGTTGGCCCACGGACGGCTGTCGTGGGGTTGTCCGCGATCTCCTGTGCGTCGACCACGGGAATGCCCAGCGTCGTAGAAAACCTGCCGTAGTCGTTGTAATGGATGTGCAACACGGAGTCGCGCTTGTCTTCAGACTTGCATTCTGCATCTGAGACTTCCTCGTACTTGAAGCCATGTCTATTGAGCTGAGCCCACAGTTCTATGGCCGACCTGAAGAGGCCCTCGAGCTTATCATGACCCTGCGAGTTTTCGAAGCAGTATCTGATCGTCTTTTTTGGCCAGATGCGGGGTAATTCTGCTTGACCTGGCCGACTCTCGATGGAAAAAGCGCGCTTGCTGAGTGACGAAGTCGCGTTGATGGTTTCGATGGCTGAGTAGTCAGGGCGAGGGTTTGTACGTTTGTTAGGTGCTTTGGCCTCCCAAAACCTGCTGCCCCCAAAAACCCCTTCGGCGCTAGCGAGCAAGAAGATGAGAATGGAGAAAAGATGCATGTTGAACGAGTGTGTTGGTGAACGAGTGTATGAGTAAATGAGCTAACGAGTGACTTCCGCTCGAGACGGCGAGTTGGTGATATCCAACAACCAAGCAGCGGTAACAAGTATTCAAGGATTGATTGCGCCGAGTGAACAGCACACAACATACCTGGACTCAAGCCCCATCCCACCCTGGTCTCGGCCTTGCGCAAGGCTGCCTACGCAGGTAGATGCCCATCTCTATTGGGACTTTTTGCTTACAGTCTCTTTCGATAGAATGCGCCAATAAATTTTGCCGGTGTGCAGTTCCCGTCCCGATGGTCATCCAGTCAGCATAAAATGTTAGCTTCAATCATACGTCCCCACTTATCCCGGTCGTGGTAATCGAAAAGGGCAGGTCCCGACCCCTATCAATTACGCCCTGCTTGCATCCCATATGAGCTATGCTTGGCAGAATCCTGAGGCTAAGGCATGCAATGTAACGTGGTGAAGAAAGAGGATGATAAAACTTTGTCCGTGGCGGCACGGCGGGTTCCTGCAGGTGAGCTTAGCCGCCTTAGCCCCACTAAGAATCTGCGCCGATAGCCTAAACCTGTGAGGTGCACCATCAAGCACTACGACATGCGGCTGCGAAGCGAGCATCATCGCCGCTCTACCTGAAAGACCCTGCCCAGACATACATCCTTGCATCAGTCAGACGACTGGAATGATGGACGGCTGGCCTTAACAAACTCGGCATGTACCCAATGGGTATTCTAATATCGCATTCTGGTTTTCGGGCCGCTAGACATCCCCTCACACCTGGGCTTCATGGCGTGTTCATTCGTTTCCGTACATTCATAGCAGAACCAGAGCATTTCGCGATCCTCTTGCGTCAAGCTCCAGTCTTCGAGGACTGGTTGTACACACTGGTCTCTCGACTACTTCGATAGCCAGCCACTCGCCTAGCTGCTGTGTCAAGTTCGACCATGCGTTTACTGAGCCAACAAACGCGTTCCCTGGCTGCGGGCCTACTTCTCACAGTCGTCAGTGCCCAAGACTCCAGTCCTACAGGTCCAGTACACCCGGGCCAGCCCGAGAACTGCAACGGCTGGCATACCGTGGTCAAGGACGAGAATTGTCAGATCGTGTCTCAAGCCTACGGTATATCCACGGAGCAGTTCCTTGAGTGGAACCCCGCGGTTTCCTCCGACTGTCGCGACAACTTTTGGCTCGACTCGGCCTACTGTGTGAGCGTCGGAAAGACCAGTACCAGACCCACCATATCCTCGCGACCTACATCCACGTTCACTTCTGGTTCTAAATCATCGTCCTCCGGAATCACTTCTCAGACGGCCATCACGTCAGCCCCTGCGACGACGAGCACTTCGTACAATTCGACTTACTCTGTCTTGCACCCCGTCACCTCGTGGAACGTGTCGACTACCAGTACCGACAATGCATGGCCACCTACCAAGACGCTCGCGGGGCAGACGCAGATTTGCAACTCATGGTACCGCGTTATGCCCGGCGATACATGTCAGCGAACGGTGGATAAGTTCGGTCTAAAATCCATCGACGAGTTTGTGAGCTGGAATCCCACGACCAAGGACGATTGTGAGATGCTTCTCGCCGATTACTGGGTCTGTGTTGGCGTTCAAAGACAAACAGGTAACACGGATCTGATATGGGAGACGGCCCAGCCAGACTTCACCGCGCCTCCCGAGCCCACCGATTACACGCCTGTTACACTACCCACAGCCGATTCGAGTTTCGCACCGATACCATCGCATGGACCTATGCCCTCCAACTGCAAAGTGTTCCATCAGGCGAAAGCCGACCAGAATTGCAATGACATTGTGAAGTTGTACGGCTACTTCTCGCAACAGCAGTTCTTGTCGTGGAACCCAGCCCTCGATGGCAATTGCCAAGGTCTTTGGCTCGACACTTGGTACTGTGTTGGCGCATACGCGGATGCTGATCTCCCACTACCCGCACATCAGACGGCCAAACCGACGGAGGGCAAAATCCCTCTGGGATACCCCAACGACTGCGCGCGATGGTATCAGACAACCTTCGACGACACGTGCGAGGTTATCGCGCTTATGTTCGGTAGCTTCAGCGAGGCCGACTTCGTGAAGTGGAATCCCTCCGTTTTCGGCGATTGCGCCGGCATCGTTTCAGATGCATGGTACTGTATAGGTCGCCCGGGCACGCCAAGTACGCGTACTCCAGGCGCGCCTTCGCCGACGCAAATGACAGAGACCATACAACCGACTGCGACGCAGCCGACAACCACTACAACAAAGCCAACTGAGCCTGTGCAGACACCTTCACCTGTTCGCGAAGGCATGGCGGACAATTGTGTGAGCTTCCACCTCCAGCAGCCAGACGAGTTCTGCTACGCGATGGCGACTGGCGCCGGCATCTCTTTGGCGTAAGTGCTTTCCGCGTCCAACCACTTTCCACGGTTCCTTCTCTTGGCCTTAGCTCTATCATCTCGAAGCTCATACTGACACTATCACATAGCCAATTTTACGAGTGGAATCCCGCCGTGGGCAACGACTGCCAGAACCTGTGGCCTGATTACTACTACTGCGTTGGGGTATGATCTATTTGATGGAAGTGCAGGCATAGGTGCAGAACGTGCCGCCTTGGCGCTGTCAAGACGTTATCAAAATAGCTGTCAATGAGTGTAAATTTGCTTACATGCGGTGATGGTGTCTTGCGGCGCGGTGTTGGCCCAGATCGTGGATGGTGGATCCAGACTGGCGGCAAATGGTCTTGGCAAACACGCTAGATAGATTAGACCCGTGGACCTCCCGGGCTGGAGACGGTCCAAACCCCGAATGAGAGGAGCAGTCTTTTCCGTGGATGGATGCGCGCCGCTAACGATGTGAAGCTCCTTGCATTGTACATCGGACCATTATGGGTAAGATGCCGTTCCTTGGCGGTTGACGCAGGGATGATTAACGAGAACGGAGGCGCAATCAGCGGCCGCCTTCTTCATCCCGCCAGTGCGTCGCCGCACACATGTCGTGTGCCACACACGTTCGGGCAGACGGTAGCTACCTATGTATGAGCTTACTGGCTATTGCCTGATCTCTTCTCTGTCCATCAAGACCGTCCTCTTCTCGCATCCCCAATCATGTCCAAGCTCAGCGCATGGCTGCAGAAGTACCTGCGCATCGAATCGAGCCCCAAACCGCCATCCCCGGACGAGCCTCCGTTTCTACCTTCCTCGCGACGACCGATTACACCGAGTTCGATCGATACACCAGCATGCCTCTTCTTCCAGCTGCCGTACGACATCCGAAGCATCATCTTAGCCATGGCCTTCGATAGACGCATGCTCCACATGGATCTTGTACAGCAAGCAGGCGCATGGCAATGGAGGGGCATCCCTTGCGGACGTAATCACCCAGCATGGAAGCCATCTATGCCATGGCATTGGAGAGGCCCGTGGATCGATGAGTGCATAAAGCAGATGGAGGAGGGCCGGCATAGAAGGAGCGACCC